TTCCCCTCTATCCAGCACTGTTTAGGCCTTGTCTTGAGTATTGTGTCCACTTGTGAAAACCCCATTTTCACAAATGGGGTTTGTGAAACTGAAACAGGTTCAGAGGAGGGCAACAAGCATAATCCTGGGGCTGGAAACCAAGCTCTGTGAGGACAGACTGAAAGAGCTGGGCATGTTTAGCCTTGAGAAAAGAAGTCTGAAGGGAGATATGATAGCAGTTTTCAAATACTTGAAAGATGGACATACCAAGAAGGAAAGGGATCTGTTCTTGATCATCCCAGACAGTAGGATACATATGAATGGGCTCAAGTTACAGGAAGCCAGTTTCCTAGATTTTGCTTATTCAAGGAAAAATCTCACTTCCCATCTGCCTAATTTTTAGAACAATATGACAGCACTGGAGGCATTCAAAAGAAAGTTAGACAGCCATCTGTCAGCTATACTTTAAATTGGATTCCTGCACTGAGCAGAGGTCCTCATTATCTTAAAGGCCCCTTCCATCTCCATCATTGTATGATTCTATTATTCTATAATTCTATGGGGGAGGAGCCAAAAACCAAAAAGGTCCATCTAGGATAACCTTATATACTTGCATCTTAAATGCATTGAATACTTGGGTGTTCAGCTCTATTTGTGGCACTAAATTTGACTGCCACCACTTTTTGTTATGTGCTCCTGATTTTCAGCAGCTACAAGGGAAGCAGATACAGTCAATGTTCAGAAACATTATTTTTTTGAATCACAGCTTTTCTGAATTTTATGTTCAGCCAGTGTAGTTCTGGGTACAATGTGACCTTCTTCAAACTAGAAACAGCTTTACCTATTGAATTCACTGGTGCTAGTGGTTGAGAATTTCATATGGGTTTGTGTTTCAAAGAAAAGCTTACTTAATCCAGATATTTCTTCATTTACAGGACTTGATATTTTAAAAATCCAAGCTGGAGTGATAGACTCCTTATTTCCTATTCAGGAACATTCATTTCTTGTTATTTGAGAGATCATCTTTCTCAAGATGCTCTTCTTAAGTAGTTTGAAACAGTGTGTTCTTGTAGTAATGTTTTAACTTTTGTAGAAGAGTTCAAAATTTAAAATTCAAATCTTAGATCTGCAATATGTAAATGATTGATTCAATTAAACTCCATGCTGCAGGCATTCATGCTGCAAGCTGCAATCCTGCATTTCCCAAACTCTTTGATGTTAAAAGTACATTATTTTTAACTGTTCCCAGCTTGAATCTATTCCTCCACAAGACTTCTATCCTCTTTTAGGAGATGCAAGACTCAGATTATCGGACTGTCTCCAGTGTCCAAACATAACAAAGGCCTTGGGGGTAAAGTGCTTTGTTCCTGGCCTTTTCTGTTAAAAAAAGAAAAGAAAAGAAAAAAACCACTGGCAGGTGGGTGCCCTCTAATTATGTTAGATTTCTTTGATCAATTTCTTTATATTTCTGGCTACCTTGTGATTAGACCTGGCGATCTGGTATTTATAGATAAGAATTACATATAGTGCAACATCCTACATTTAGATATGGATCTCTGATCTAGTGTCAAGTTCTACTACACACTTTGAAGGCCAGAGGCCTAATTAATTTACTGACCTCTTTCAAGGCCTGGGCTATCAACTGCCCTGCTTCTACTACTTCAGCCCCCTAATTAAAATGGTGTTCATTCCTCCCTGCTACACCACACCTTTTTGGCTTCTCCTTCTGGTTTATAGGTTAAGCCAGTATGAATCAAGGAGTTCTGGAGTTGAGGGCTAGGAAGCCTGTCAGAAAAGATAACACATTCAGTCTCTTGCATTTTATAACACTCTCATCCTGTCTGAGTCCTACCATGAAAGAAACAAAAGGGCCACTTCTTTTGGGAAGGGCATTCATGCATTAACTTGCATTTTGTTGTTATATTTATTATTTATAGTGAGTCAGTAGGTAGGGTAAATAGAGGATTAGGAGACACGCTTGGGTTTCTAGAATTACTGCTACCATACCACAAGTGAATAATCCATGGCTGATAGAACATTTGCAGAAAAATATGGGAATTGGAGGAACATGAATGCTTTATAATTATTATGAAAAGTCTTTATCTCACCTAGAATACCTGTGTATTTCACTAGTGGTACTTATATGAACTCTGGAGACTATCTTCTACTGAATCACACCATCGGTCCATTAAGTCCGGACTAGTCCATTCTGCCTGGCAGGAACTCCACTAGGTTTCAGGGAAGATTTTATTTCTTGTATTCTTTGATGATCTCCCATTCCAATACAAGTGCAACCCTTAGCTTCCAAAATCAAATTAGTTTGAACATGTTCAGGTTAGCAGGGTGGTACCTCATTTGAGAACCACTGCCAGATTTCCGATGGAAGACCTCTCCCACAACGCTCTCTTTCTCTCCTAGAGGAGGTTTTGTGCTAGCAGCTTTTGCTGAGAATACTGTTGCTTCTTCTTCATGTATTTGAGAAACATAATTGTAGAGGGAAGATGGGAGCCTTATTGTGCAATATTCCAACCTATGTAAAGACCAGTAACAGGTAGTATAATGACATCCATTGTTCACTTCCTTATTGACGTATGATTTCAGGATCAACGGGATGTAGCCAAACTATGCATCCTAGCTTCCGTCCACAATTAACATTTACGAAGTTTCTGAAGAAGGTTTAGTCTAACACTGCTTCTGACTGATTTAAGCAAATCTCAGACGGTGAGAGCTAGCTCAGTATAATGCTTGTAGTGTTAGACTGGCACTCTAAAGGTACAAGTTTAAGTCTCCACTGAGCCATGAGTCTTCGAGTCAACCTTGGGCCAATCACTTACTCAGCTTAACCTATCTCAGAGTTACTGATAAGGATAAAATGTGAAAGATCAGAGCTATATGTGGCACTTTAAGCTCAATGAAGAAAAAAAATTAAAAGTAACTCAGAAGGAAGAAAGGAAAACAAGATCTTGCAGTGTGTGTCAGGAAAAATGAATTATATAAGCATCTTTAAGATTGTCTGCAATTTAGCTTTCACATTTTCATTATGTTAAAGGATTTGGACATCTACAATCCTTCAGCCAATCTATGCTTGGGTCCTGAATGGTGCTCAAGCCTCATCTTTATCCATGGTTTCTGAACTGTATCCCACAGTAAGTATTTTGAACAGCCTAAGACTGAGATAATGCATTTAATGACATTATCTTTTGTGGAAGTCTAGGAACGTCCTTGAACATCTTTCAGTTCTTTCACTTATGTGCCATTTTAAATGATGGTGTCATTGTCCTGTAGTAATTGTACCACTCAACATTAATATTCCCTGCAAGCAAATAGTCCTAGGCTGCAACTACTCACATAAAATATGCTCACATAAATGAAAGGGAAGTGTGAACTAGGTGGTAGGATCCTTGCCCAGATTCTACTACCTGAGAGTTCATATAGTAGAGGTAGCAGACTGCTACATCCATATACTTAGCTATTGATGTTTCCATAGCAGTCAGTTTGCTTGCTGGGCAAGCCCAGCACTTTGCCTTTCTATCTTTTGAAGAAACAGATGATGGTACTCACCATTGCCCAACCTTAGGCTAGGAATGAATTTTGGTTGTTCTTGAATTGAACTGTGATATATTGTCCACTGTTTGATACCAAGCCGCTTTGTATCTGTAAATGTAAGCACTTTCAAATGACAAGAAAAGCTTCTATTTTATGTAGCAACACATCAGCACTGACCACAATTTGTTTAATCAGAGAAAAGTATTTCCCTTGATGTGCTAGGGGGAAAATAATCCTACTAAACTAATATTTTTCTAAATATTTCTTTATGTTATCACTATAATTTTTCATTCTTAATTAGAGTTGCATATATTTCCTAACCTTCTTTCCTATCAGTAGAATGTGTTATTTTGCATTTGTGTACTAAGAAGGGAACTTTTAAAAATCTAGTATGTTCAGCTCAGATATTCAATGCACTGTCAACATTCTACTGTAGGTTGAAGTCAAAAAAGTCCAGCCCAAAGTAAAAGACAATGGCATTCTCATGTATTTATTTATTTATTTATTTATTTATTTATTTATTTGTTTGTTTGTTTGTTTGTTTGTTTGTTTGTTTATTATTCATTCATTCATTCATTCATTCATTCATTCATTCATTCATTCATTCATTCATTTATTTGACTTCTACCCCACCCATCTAGATCAAAGGTCTATTCTGGGCGGCATTACAAATTTAAAAACAGTAAAAACAATGAACATATACTATAACTCTAATATGGCAAAATGTGAATTTAGGATATAGCAGGAGGAAAAGCCTGCCCAAATAGCCAGTCCTTGACTTTACTTCTAATTCTGTGAATACTGTAATGGGAGTGCAACCCCACAAGGGTTACTTCAGCTTTTAACTTCATCAGTTAACCCATTCCCCATGTGACAGTTTCATATTCATACTCAGTCATTAGAACAATAGCCGAAGCTAGACTGTAATTGGTGAACAGAATTTGGCAATCCATGGGTGTGGCTACGCAGGGGAGGAGCATTAGATTAAATAGATGTATTCCCTGTTGGCTTCTGCTGCACAAATCTCTCTGGTTGTTCACACCAATTGCACCACTGCAAGAATCCGCATCACACATCCCAAACCCTCTCCTCCACACCTTTTACCTTCATTCCTCCCCTTTATGCAGAAGCTTAACAATCAGTTCCTACCAGTTTGAACTCCTTTTCTCTCTCTCTTTTCCTCTCTTTTCAAAGTGATATAGTGCAACTTTGAAAGGCTTAGCCTCCCAAAGAGCTAGAGGCTGTGCCATCAAAAGTAGAAAAGTAAACATTTGTTGAAGGAAAGGTAAACCCTTTAGTACAACAATTGTCCCCATGAAAAAACAGGCATAGAAAGAAAGCAAACTGCTAGGAAAAGCAAAGCAGCCTTGCCACTGATATGAAACAGTGCTAAACTTGACAGGCAGATTAAAGAAGAAGGAGTAAGACTGGTTGGAGGACAGACAACAGTCATTTATTTGAAGGGGATTGTCTAACTGTAAAGGCATATTGGTGCCCACTGAAGAGTAAAAAAAAATTCACTGTGCGACAAACCTCCAATTGCACATTTAGATCAAGTTAAGCAATCAGACACACCAGAACAAGGAAAAAAGGATGCAAGTGAATCAGTTGAAAATAAACAACCCTCTGCTGGCCATTCCAAAAAAAATGAATGACTCCAGAAGAAGCACAAGCTTCCACATTATTAGCTCTACATACTGTAGTCAGAGAAAAAGGCAGTGATTTCAGGTGTGCAAACTCCAATGCAAAGCAGATTATAATTCAGTGTCATTGTACTCCATGTTTGTTAAAACATGCTACCATCAGAATGATCCCTGAAAATCTCTATGCCTTAGATTTGTTGCCCCTTTAAATCTACTTAGGTAAGCAGGCAGCATCACTGCTCTGAAAAAGCAGGCACATCGTCACCAGAACCAGAGATCACTAAGTCCTACTCACAAGAGTAGCCTACCCATGGTTTATACCTAGTATTATTAACATTGTGAACATTTTTTTTCATGAAAAGATGTTTGTATTACATTTTGAAGGGCTGTTGAGATTGCACAAACATTTCATTGGACTGCAGATTCTTTACATTCTCTCTGCCCCAAATAGCTGAGCCCAACTACATTGTCCACTCCTTACAGAGTTATGAACTTGCAAACTCCAAAGTTCCATTCATCTTCAGAGTTACTTCCTCCTATGTTTGAAAGGGCAAAGAGTTGATTTTTATTCAAGCACTGTAATGTGCTACAAGTAACACTGTTTGTTTCGCCTTGGAACTGTGGTTTGCGCTAACCATGACATCCTGAGGGTCCAAGGATGGTGCTCCTGCTGAAGCTGCAACAAATGTGAAGTTGTTGTCCTGTCTCCGGATACTGCGACACACTCGAGTCGACTTGGAGGAGCATCTGTTGCTGGAAGTGTTTGACTTTCCACATTTCAGAAGAGCACAAAAGCATCTGTAAAACTAACACACAAATATATGTAGTAAATAGAGACAGCCTATTTGTGAAGTGATGGCTTCATTTCTCTATTGCATCAAGCAATATGGTCCCTTGTGAGACTCATGTTCAGCAAACTGTAAAATCACCAAGATGGCTTGGTGATTTTATGCACCCATTTTACGCCTTTGAAAAGGAAAAAAATTGAACTCAGAAACCTTACTTGTTATAAGAAAAAGGCAGCTTTATGGCTACTCATTACTTTGCTTTTGAATGCAAGTATACTCTAATAAAGTAGCCAGTTCAGTGTAGCATGTTACTTCCATGCTCTGAGAAGGAGCTAGGTCAGCAGAGAGAAGAAACTCAATGATCAAGAGGGGTGACATAGATTAAAGGAAGAGCTAAAAATATGACTTGGTAATAACAATACAGAGACAGAGCAAGAGAGACAGAGTTAGAAGCAACCTTATTTTAATAAAATTATTTGTTTCATAAAATTCCTCTTGATTCTTAGTAGTAACAAGTAGCACTTGAATCATCTACTACACCTTGATTGGTCATATTTCCTCCACTCAAGACTCTCAACAACCACTTTTCATTAGGATGTCTAAGAGCAAGATATTTTGAATCTCTAAGCTTGCTTGAAATCAGGAACTATCAATTAAAGCATATTTTGAATCCCATCCTCATGGTGAACCAAGAAAGGTTGTGGCAGAAGAATAAGCTATAAAATCTTCCACACCCTCACAGCTGCAAGTGGAGCACCTCAAACTACCCATCTCCTAGTCTCATTTGCCAGTCTGGGCTCCTTGGCTGGACAGATCTCTTACTGCTCCCTCAGTCTTACAACAGGCCTGTTACTTGTCCTCCAAGGCAAAACCATAGTCTTTGTGCTAGGAGGAATGTTTTGGGTTTTTGTTTGCTTGTTTTTGTCTTGGGGTGGTCTTGAAGTGCACAGGCAATGTCATGGATCTGGGAATGGAGCTGATCCGACTATTTCCTAAAGGGTACAAGGTGAGTATAACCCAATCCGTATACTCTTTATTTGGGTACAGAGCAGGTCTGTGGTCTCCTACACATCCCAATGGAAATACTTCTAGTATACTCTACTTCTACTGTCTACTTAGAAAAACAATACGTCTGGAAAAAGGCAGTGTAAAAAAATCAACTTTTTTTCCTCCAAAAAGTTCCTAGACCAATTCTGGGTATGAAAAGAATCAGAAGCATGGTTCTAAAATCAGGAATAAAACATTTTAATTGCATGAGGTTGCTCTGCACAGCATATATAGCTTATAATGAGCTTATAATGAAAACAGAATGAGATTTGAAGGATAATAAGTGGTGCTTTGATCTGAACAGGGGGAAATATACATTAATGAGAGACAACAAGGCTATGAATGGTGAGAAGCACATCAGGAGTAGAGTGACTGAAAGGAACCCAGCCATAACACTCCACACCATTTTTCTTTTCATGAGGTAATTTTCTCTATGGCATGAGCTGATCTGCATTTATTTATTTATTCATTTGTTTGTTTTATTTTATTTATTATTTTAAGGATTTTATCCCACCTTTTTCCTTTAAAAAGCACCCAACATGGCTTACATCATTAATTCTAAAAGGTAAAAACAGTAAAATATTCAAATATTAAAGAAATAATAACATTATATTTAAAGTGTTAGGTAAAAGCATTACAAAAACAGATTTAGAAGCAACATAATATAAACCATCCCATTTATTGTCTCCTAGATAGCCTTTAAGGAAAAACTTCCTGAAGAAAAATATATTTTCATGCTTGTGGAAGGACAGCAAAAATGGGACCAGTCTGGCTTCCTGTGAGAGGGAATTCTAGGGTCTGGGAGCAGAGACAGAGAAGGCCCACTTCTGTGTCCCCATCAAGCACACCTTTAAGACACCCTTTGACTCCACAGACTGATTTGATTATACCTGGAGGAAAGCACCAGGGCACAAACTAGCATTGCATTTATAACTTGACAGTGTTACATGAATATTTTTCCATTTTGTAACTCTGATTTATTTCCTGTATTTATGCAGGGTTCAGCTATAGGTAAAAGGGCTTGCATATGAGAAACTTGTAGCTAATACCTCTCTTGGCTTTCTAGGGATTGATTAGAACAGTGGTTCTTAACCTTTTTGAAAGAAACGCCCCCTTGAGCCATTGAAGAAGTTATGATCGCCCCCCTCCCCACAGTGATGATATCTTATTTATTTATTTAACCATTTAAATGCCAGCTGTGTGGGAAATGTTTTGCTAACAATTCAAACCTTCTGACACACCAGAGACTTCACAGAGGAGAAAAACCATGCAAATGTCAGGAGTGTGGTAAATGTTTCACTCATCATTCAGTTCTTTTGATCCACCAGAGAGTCCACACAGGAGAGAAACCATGTAAATGCCAGCTGTGTGGGAAATGTTTTGCTAACAATTCCACCCTTCTGCTCCAGCACCCCCACACCGCCCCTTTTTGTTCTACTGCCCCCCTGAAAAATGAAATCGCCCCCTGGGGGGGGCATTATCGCCCACGTTAAGAACCACTGGATTAGAAGCATGAAACAATTACTTAACCATGGTGTGAAAGTATGTTGAAATGTACTGTTTCAACAAACTACATTGCAATTCATTTCAGGGGGTGAGGGAATACTCCCATGCACATGTATATGAAATCTTTTTGCCCATGTGGGATACATGGAGTTGTGGGTAAGCGGTCAGGAATGTTTAGCAGTGGGCATGGCCAGAACAGGTAGTTAGGATTAACTGGTCTCGGGGCACCAGTCAAAGCTGGTCCAAATGGCTATGCTACTCCTTGTCTCTAGACGGGGAGATAGACTGCAGCATTATTTACTCCCAAAGTGTTTTATTTTATTGTGTAGGGGCTTTCAAGCCTGGGTTCAGTGTGGATCTGTTTGTATGTGTATTGTATACATAATGTTTGTCTGAGATACTTCAGGAAATCTACATTGTGTACCTGGCTTGCCCATTTATGAATACAGGTATGCAGTCTTATGTGGCATCAAATCAATCCTGGCCTACCCTTCTCAGGATTTTCCAGACAGAGAGTCCTCTGAAGTGGACTACCTTTTCCAACTCCCGGGGGCATCCTGGGATTGTGCAGATTGACCCATGGGCCCACATCTTCTGGGATGGACAGTGGAGAACTGAACTCCCAGTCTCTGGCTTCACAGCTAGATATCTAACTCACTGAGCTATCCAGCTATGCAGGCATTAGTTTGCAAAATTACAGAGGGCCATGTCCCTGTGGCATCACAAGAGCCTGCCCCTCTGACTTCACAGGGCACACTCCCCTCGTCTCCTCCTACCTCGGTTATCTCAAAAGATAGGAAGCTACAATTTTGACAACTGTTCTGGTGATAGGTGGGACCAGTGGTTGCCATCAAGGCCAGTATTTCCTTCACTTACACTTCACTCATTCTCCCTCCCTTCCTCTCCCCTCCCTCTCTTTCACTCACTCACTCTCTCTCTCTCTCTCTCTCTCTCTCTCTCTCTCTCACACACACACACACACACACACACACACACACACACACACACACACTCACACACACACACACACACACACACGATCCAGGACTGCCGGAAAGACACCCTACTCTGAACCTCCTTGAACCAGATGGAAAGAATATGCAAGCATTTTCAATAAATAACATCAGTAGGTTTCCCTGTTGGGCAAGCAGAGGAAGCTGCAAGCCATGCTTTATAGTCTTGCACCTCTGAAAAACACTTTAACCTCATTAAACAGTAGCCCTGTCTTGTCTCATCGCACGAAGCCTTTAAAACAAGAATATTTAAAACTGTTGAGTCTTGTCTTATTTCATAATTAGTGCAAATGCATGCACTGTAAGCGGGTGTAAACTCTTGCGGCACATTAAGGCAGTTGAATTATGTGAAGATGCTAAGCAAGCCGCTGGGTGAATGTCACCATAACAGTTGCAGGTCAAGGTCAACACATTTGAAGGGAACACAACTATTTATACTTTAGAAAGCTAAGGTTATAACGAGTGGAGGGGGGGGGAGGTACATCAGGAGCATGCTAGTTATTCTTAAGCTGCTTTGTTCTTAATGATTTCTGGTCTTCCTTCCTTATTGCCACAAATGCTGCAAAATCAGAATGAAGTGCAGCACCGTGCTGAAGAAAATGGCTTGCACTCCAGGGAATGGAATTTGCAGGAAAGTACAAACATGCGTAAAAATGGTGATAACTCTCTACAGGACATTGTTCATGGAATGATAAACAACTACTCTTTAATACTGAGAACAGTTTGCATTTGGCGATGGCATTATGTCTTAAACATGATGGATTTGTCCTTCTGTTGCTATTAGCACTGGTCCTTTGAAGTCAAAGGGAAATCTTACATTTTAATGACTGCATTTAAATTTTTTAATTTACTATTATTTATTATTTAAAATATTTTTATCCCACCTTCTTAAAAAGAACCCAAGGAGGCCTTAACTCCTCCTTTTAATCATGCTTCCCCTCGTCTTCAATCTTACAATCCAAATGTCATGACAGAGAAAGTGAAAAGGATGAGGAAGGCAAAGGACAAAAAGCATACTAAAGTTCCAATATCCTTTTAATGACCAGATTGTTTGGAAACATTTCAAGGAGAGGAAGAGCCTGATAGGCAGATGCAATGTCAGTAGAACAGATGGAGAGCACCCTGCTCCCCAGCTCACTTTCTACTGTAGCCTGAAGGAAGGGTTGCCCTCCGAATGCTTGTTCTGTTTATGTTTAAGAACATAACATGCAATCCTCAAATGTGTTTGGAATTCAGAACTTGGAAAAGTTATGAACTCTCAGTATCAGCAGCCCAGCAGTCACGGTTATGGATGGGGGTGTTGCGTGGAGAGCAATAGTGTAAATTAGAAAGATTCCCCCTCCCCCAAACTCTGGTTCAGATACTAACTTCCAAAAATTGGCTTTTCCACAGCTGGGACTGAAAGGAGTAGAAGGACTGTTTTCGAATCTTAACCATGCTGCTCTTTTATAA